GCGGCGTTCTTTATCATATGATACGATGAGATAAGAAGGTGCGGCTGCTTGATAAGAGGTGCACTCCAGAATGAAAACGGGACGATAACGATAACGGTATCATATCTAGCACGCTCTTATCGCACCCCTTTCCACATCGATAAGTCTTGGTTTTTGCTGAACGGAAGTGGATTTCGGCGCCTTATACTCCGTTGAGGGCCACTGCCACTGAAACTTCACGTGTTGTAACACTGGGCAGGACCCCTATCCACTCCAATACATAGCTTCCCTTATCGTTCCCATGAAAATTATCGTGACCACTTCCTTTAAAGGGCGTGCGAAGGACCCCGACTTTGCACAACAAGCCCACACCTCGGTGTAAGGCAGGGGCGGAAAAAGGACTACGGACGCATCAAAATGCACATCGCTTCCCACAACGTCAGGACATTATCGACAGACTCTCTCCTGGACGTATATCTACAACAACTGGAAAAGATCAAAGCCGACATTATCGGTGTATGCGAAACTAGGAGAGCACGCGCTGTCTCAGCGAGGTGGACAAGCGGTGAAGAAATTCTGCTGGGAGAAGGAGCCAACAATGTGCCCAGAACAGGTGGAGTCGGTTTCATCATAAAAGCGAAAATGGTCCCGTACATTATTTCTTGTGATATCATATCCCCACGTGTCGCTGTTCTGAAGGTCAAACTACAAAAGTTGGGAAATCGAACGCTCAAAATGGTGCAAGTATATGCGCCCACCGTCTCAGCGGAGGACGATGAAATCGAACGTTTCTACGAAGAAATAGAGACGGCATTGAAGCTTAAATCGACATACACTATTGTTCAAGGCGATTTCAACGCAGTTGTCGGCTCCCGATTGGACGATACGGAATACCTCATAGGAAGGTACGGTGCAGGAGTAAGAAACGACAGAGGAAACCGTTTGATCGAATTTGCAGAACAACATCAATTCTCAATAATGAACACTTTCTTCGAGAAGAAAGCGAAGCGTCTCTGGACATGGAGAAGCTCAGACACGAGAACTCTGAGGCAAATTGATTATGTGCTGACCGATACGCCAAGATTGTTTGCTGATGTCTCTGTTATAGGGGAAAATGTGATAACGACTGGCTCCGATCATCGGCTTTTGCGTTCGGTGATCCTCTTCGATGCCAAGAAAGAACGTCGAGTTCTGCATTCGCAAAAAAACACTCGTACGAAAAACTTTCAATGCCGATATGTAGGCTGCGATGATAGAGTCGTCAGATCTGCACCCTATGCTCTCAAAGACGATACAGGTGTTAGAACAACTAACCGCCCACGGATGAACGAGATATGTACGAAGTTCTACAGCGGTTTGTACTCCTCAAAGGTGGTTGTTGCAGGAACCTACCGAACCGCTGCAGAAGAACCGATCCCAGAAATGAGGAAGAGGTGTGTTCCGCCGGTAACAAGTAAGGCTGAGAAAGTCCGGGCTCGATCAGACATGTCCAGGAAACATAAAAGCAGGCGGTACCTATGTTCCCCAAAGCGCTGCGAGCGTTGCGCAGGTCGTAATGAAAAAGGATTACTGCCGGTGGTAGAAATAGGACGATATACTGATGAGAAAGGCGATCCCAGATCTTAATAACTACAGACCATACTTTGCTTCTTTAAATCGATAAGACATACCAAGAGATATCTAATCACGTATCAACTTGGATAGTCTGATCGGAACGCCGGTTTCAAGGTGGTTATCCACACTTGTATCTGACGTTGCGTGCGTGGTAAGTCGATAAAATGTGAAGAAGTCCAGATCCAGCTGCATTTGTGGATTAGAAGAGCTTCGATTCCGCTCCTATTCAGGGTGAACAAAGCGATATTGATGGGTATGAGGATATGTATTCAGTTAGTTCTTCAAAGTAGACCTCTTGAACATTGAGCAAGCGGCTTCTGTCTACAGAAATAAAGTTATTCAACGATCCATGTCAAATAAAAATCTGCAAGGGCGTTCGACAAGGTGACACGATCTCGCCGAAATTGCTTGCACTAACGCTGGAAGCCTTGTTCAGTGATCTTGATTGGACGGATGGCATAGAGATCGATTGGAAGGCCTACTATCTGCGTTTGCTATGAATGCGTTCTTTTGACATAATGCGTTGTCGAGCTCGACAGGAGAGCGTGTGAGTGTGCTGCAGAGAGAAATCAAATAAAATTGGGCTTGAAATGAACTTGTCCAAAACTCAAATGGGTGCACAATCAGTTCAGTAATACAGAGACGATCAATGTAGACGGTGAAACGATTGAAGAAGTGAAAAGCTATAAAGTACCTTGGACACCAGCTCAGCTTCACTGAAGGCACTAGCGAGGAGTACAGTAAACGCAGGAAAGCAGCTTGGTCTAGCTTCAACAAAATCTCAAGGGTATTGCTAGACGATAACCTCCCGATGAAACTGAAGGCATCTTTGTTTCACTCAACGGTGATACCTGCGCTGCTGTACGGCGCGGAATGCTGGTCGCCCACTAAAGCAGACGAAGAGAAATTTGCTGTGATGCAAGAGGTCAATGGAACGCAGAATTTGCAAAGTGTCACTTCGTGAACATATCACAAACACAGAGTTGCGAAGAAGAAGTGGCCTTGTTGATGTTGTCCAGGAAATGTATAATCGTAAACGAGATTGGGCCGGTCACGTAGCACGTCTTAAAGATGACAGATGGACTTTCAGGCTTATGAATTGGATCCCGTTGGACCACAAGCGATCGCCAAGAAGGCCCAAAACGAGATGGGCCGATCCGATGGTGAAAATGCTCGGCCAACAATGGAGAAGACATGCTCAGGACCGGAATGAATGGTTCAAAGTCGACTTGCGCAATTGGAGAAGCTTGCGAGGACGAGTCGGATACAGGTGATACAGGTGATCACGCTGGCTTCCACGCTGGATTTGCTACCCTCGCGTTATCAACCGATAAGGTCTGGGATAGATTATGATCGGACGAGCGTTACCGATTACGATAGATCTCACAGGGGTTTAGAGGGGACGTGAGGGTCTCAATAGTACGCCAATGGCGAAAAAAAAAGCAAAGAAATCCGTCAAAAATAAGCAAAATAGTACCCCTTTGATTGCCCTTTCATTTTCGACCATGGATGAGCGACGGTAAAGAACGACGTTGTTCGGACGTGTTAACCCCGATAGCCGCCATCATGCCAACAAGCATAGTGTTTTGATTGATAAGGCAATACGTGGGCAAGTTGGAAGATACAGCCGCTAGAAGGGAAATGATCATCCAAAATGAAAAGCCAACAGCAAACAGTCCATCCAGATCATCAACAAAACTAGTGGGCGTCACTCACATGTTATAAACATTGATCGCCGAACATAGTTTATCGATAATCAGCCACTAAAAATAGAGTTCAGTAAATAGTCAAGTAAGAAAGATAGGAATCAGCATAATAAGCAGTTAGTAACAAAAGCACGACCGCAATCACAAACGGGTGCAACAGAACATCACAGCAGCACAACTTCGAAAGGAAGCTCATAATAGAAACGTGTAGATTAGTAACACAATCGCCATTTTTGAAAAGAACCCGTTACAATTGTAATCTGATCAACGAAACACAACGGAACAACAAAAGCACCACAACACTAGAGCGATTACCTTAGGCAAGGACTGCGGAAGCCGGAACCCATCATGACCTGGAAAAAGCATGCGCAAAAACGACTGGTTGCTTCAAAACAGCTTCAAATTGTGTTCTGCACACAAATAGAACACATAGAAGAAGCTGTGATGAAGAACAAGTCGAACAGAAAAAGGGTCAATGCAAAATAAAAATAAAACTCACCAAAAGAGCAGCGGCTGCACTATGACCTGGAAAATGGGGGCGGAAAAACGACTGGTTGCTTCAAAACAGCTTCAAATAGTGTTCTGCACAACAATTAGAACACATAGAAGAAGCTGTGATGAAGAACAAGTCGAATAGAAAAAATGTCAATGGAGAATAAAAAGAAAATAAATAGAATAAGCAAGAAACTGGACAATGGTTTTTACTTTTATAGAAAAATCCATGCAATATTCGTGGAATACAGCATCCATTTTTCTCAAAACTGACTCACCTTATCGGGACGCGGGATGCCCGCAGTCGTTGAATAGTATTAGAAAAATACCAGAAGGTAGTAAAATACTGCTGCATTTCTCGGTAAATACCAGCGTCAGCAAAATCAGCTGGAGATACGGCGCGACGACTGTCAAGTGCGGCTGGCTACACGCCAAGTCCGCAGCCCCGCCTAATCAGACTCCGAGATATGGAGTTACGCGTCCCACCATCTAGCCAAATCCCGAACTCAGCTCCTGACGACTGCTGCGACGCGTGCTATGAATTTCGTGACACACTCAAACAGACAGACATAGCGTTTTATGTACCAGTTTAGCTCCGCACGCCACTGCGCGCGTCATATGTGGGATTCGGTGAGACTGGACAACTCGAGGAATATTATTCATGTTGCTGAAAAACCAATAGTAGATGTTTTGGAAGATGCGTCAGATGAGATCCTTTATTAAAACAGAAAGTTCCTCAATTGGGCGCAGAGTCGATAGAAGTCGTCCAAGTCTTGATCGGTGGAAGTCTGCATAGTTCGTTGCCCACTCAGGGCTCTGTTAAACGGTAGCGGATGACGGCGGTGTGGGCTCGGTATGTAATCATATCCTGTAAGCGCTCAGGATCAGCCCAAAGTTAAAAATGAGAAAGTGTTTTCGATTGAATATGAAATAGAAATATAAAAATAAGTAACTAGACTTCTAAAACGTTAGTGGCGTAAGCTACATACACCCTATCTGCTTGCTCATGACATTGTGTTTTGGGAAAGCTCAATACTTATTAGGGGTTCAGCGTGAAGGAATATAATCACACTGGTCACATCACAACTAATAACGCAGGACGATTCACATGAAGGTTGACCACTTTCTTCGATACCACTCATTTTCAAGTTAAGCGAGCAGAAAAATGTTTACTTGCAGACCTAGTCAAAGACATGCCAGGGGACTGGTTTGACGCTATGACATGGATCGGAGGAAAACACTCAGATAACGGATGGTTTTGGGTGGACGGAGTACAGTTCAGCTATACAAACTGGAGTCCGGATGAGCCGAATAACTACTCAGGCAACGAGTATTGCATGGAGGTATCTTGAACAATTTGTTCTATTAGGTTGGAACGATTGAAATGTCGTTTTCGGTCATCAATTATTTTCATTATAAAAACAACAAGCACATCAACCTGAACCATCTCCTTCACCTGTGTCACAGGCTCATCACCTTTCGTTACGCAAAGCATGGATGCCTACCGCGTAGAACTCTTTCTGGTTCGACTCGAAGAAGTTGGGCACTCAAATTTTGACGTCGTCGCGGTTATCGAATTGGTTTGCTGCTAAGGAGTGTTGCGCTGACCTGGGTCAGTGATAGTCGGACGGCGCCAGACCTGGGCTATATGGCGCGAGAGGCAGAGCGTCCCAGCCCAACTCCTCGATTTCTTGTTGCAAGATTTTCGCGACATGTGGTCTTGCATTATCGTGCCATAATTTTTCATTGGCCGAATTTACCCTTTGACGACGCGGAGCTCGGCCCACGTGGTGGAGCTGTTATACGCAGAGTTCAGCTGTAACTGTATAACCCACAATCAGCATTCCGTGGTACACCGTTGCTATACTATATCACCATATATTAGGCTGATGCATATATTGCGGCTTAGCGTTCGAGTTTCTGTTTTTTCATGAGAATATTCTTCTTTCTTCCATTAACAGAAATGCTTATCGGAAATTGTCCTCATCTTCACCACACATGCTTACTACTTCTATAAATGTTAGAAGGCGGCGGGGCCATTCCGCGATCTCATCAAACTTCTCAGCGAGGGAGCAATTAGCAAAACCCAAGACGAAGGATCGTTCAAGAAGTTTAAAACGCCACATCTACCGAGCGGAGCTCCTACAGACTAGCAATTCAATCAGACGTTGAAAAACTGGCAAACGAACAAATTTTAGGATGAGCTGGATGCGTTGGTAAGGCAGGGAGTGTAGCCGAGTGGTGAAGAGGTTAGACTCATGT